TTATAATCTCTATATATACTAGTATCACATCCTATGTCGCACGGATCATATTTACGTTATAAAGTTAAGATCATTTATGAAGGATACAACTTGGTATCTAATGGAATATAGAGATTTTATTATTTTAAGGTACAAAAGTTAATTGGTTTACAAATTTTTGAAAACAGTGTCCCGAAATCTTTTGAAGTTTCATCTTGCCAAAGAATTGTAGCATAAAAGAGTGGTTCCTCGTTTTTGTTGTTTGGTAATTGCGTAGTACTTTGCCTCTCATCAGTAAATAAACACTATCTTCATTCTTTCAATTTTTCTTTGAAAGTGTGTATATTCAAATCTCTAATCTGTGCATGTATTCGATCTCCCTGACAATGCAAATGAAAAAAAGTACATATTAGCATCATTACAACCTTGTGAATGTATACGTATTTTAGGTTCATTTTAATGTAACAACAAATATCAAAATCATGAAAAATTACATCCAAGGATTGGGGTCCCCTAGCATGGGCGTAGACATGATAAACTTTTATCTCTCTTAATTTAAGCATCAAAACTAAGAACCTCTCATCAATATTTTTTTACAACAGTTAACGATCCTATGTTACTTGAAAGGTAGAATTGAAAACACAGTTCAAAGAGGGTAATTACGAAAAGAGTTTGAGAATGTTAGTATTTATAGTAGGAAAAAAAATGAATTTCTTTTTTATTTCCGATTTTGTATTTTTTTTATTTTCAGAATCAGCCTAGTCAACCTAGCCCTTTAATAAAAAAGGAAACTTATTGTAATTTTTTAAGCATTAATTTTTAATTAATGCTTGCCAATATTAATACTTATTGAAATTTTACTCGAGTTGCACACACTTTCTATTTCCGAATTTGTAATTTTTTTATTTTTGAAATTAGCTTTGTCAGCCTAGCCTTTTAATAAAAATGGAAACTTATTAGTACACACGCTATACATATTTTTTGTATTCTCCCAACTAAAAAATGGAAACATAATAATTTTAATTAATGCTTACCAATATTAATGCTTATTCACATGTTACTCGAGTAATGCGCACTTTCTGTATACTACTTTGACATTTTTTTTAAATTTAGTTTTTTAATCTATTTCTGACTTTGTAATTTTTTTTAAAATATGCCTTTAGCCTTTTAATAAAAATGGAAACTTATTGGTACACTATAAATATATTTTTGTATTCTCCCAACCAAAAAATGGAAAAACAATAATTTTTAGTTAATGCTTACCAATAGTAATGCTTATTAGACATTTTTATTTAGATTTAATTTTGTTTTTAAATTTGAAATTTTTTAATTTGTTTTATTTTCGTAAATACTATACGTTATTTACCTTTGAATAAAAATGGAAACTTATTGGTACGATATAACTGTTTTTGTGTTCTCCCAACCAAAAAACAATACTAACAATTTTATAAACGAAGAGTTGATTTTATTTTTTTCAAATAACTTATCTAACATTAAAAACACTGAATTGAAATATTGGCATAATATGCATTTTGTAATAGTATACATTATATCAATGATTCTGAGTTTGAATCATAGCTATAATATTATTATATTTTTAGAGTTTTTAAAATGAAAAGAAATCTTTATACAATTTTTTTAATAATGGAATATTAAAAATTATTAAGTGAACTTGTAACACAAAAACTCTTGATAGGATGGTTTGAACCCCCATTGGGTGTGTTTTTTGGGGAAAAAAAAAACTTGTCCAACCGGTTCGACCGGCCGGTTCTTACCGATTCACAGCAGTTCGTAGTGGTTCGAAGTCCAAAGGATTGGACCGGACCAATAGGACCACCGGTTCAAGGTCCGAACTGACTGGTCCGGTTCTCCCATTTTATGAAACACAAACTGTCAAACTCCCATCCCACAAAGACCTTTTTACTCTTAGCTTGTTTAATTTGAGATATCCTAAAAAATATTATTTACTTTCTTTATTTTCAAAAATATGAATATGTTGCTCATAATTGTATTATTTCTCTTTCATATATTAAAATTTCAAAGTACCCATTTTCATTTTCAACATTTAAACTCTATGGAACTTACACTATGACTTCTTTTACAGGGAAATAAAATTAGTAAAAGACTTTGAAATTAATCAAGAGATCAGATGCCCTTGAATTTATACTACAAATAATTCTTTTTCAAATATCAAAACTAAAATTACAAACTTGTCAATGAAATTCAAAGTCAAATGAAAATCTTATTTTTGAAAACATATTGATTTATCTAGTAGGTTATCTTTTTATAAATATTTTCTTTGTTAGACATATATTAATTAATGTATAAAAGTTTGTTATCAAACAAAATTTAAAGTTTACGGTTAATATCTTAATAAATGTGAAGCAAATGTATAATAGTGGATTAGACTCAACATTCACATCAACGTTTCAAAAAAAAGGGGCTCATTAAGTAACATGTAATCTTGGTCTATTTTGCAAAACCTAAAACAATAATTGGATTATTTTAAAAAATAATTGGTTTATTTTAAAATAACCTATAATTGGGATTATTTTAAGCTTACCAGCAATAGTTGAGATTATTTTTATCAAATTTTCATATACAAAATTCTTGATGTAGTCATGCTTGACGAACCCCAAATTCCATAGCATCTTTCACCCCAATGCTTTCACAGGCATTGCAGACACGCATTAATCTTTTATGTGTGTGCTGCCAAAGATTGGTGGGGGAGGGGGCAACGTGAGTTTTACCAAAGGTTTTTCTACTTAAGTTTAAACAAAATCCTCATTTTAATTCCACGCAAATAAAAGTAATCTTATATATATATATATATATATATATATATATATATATATATATATATATATATATATATATATATATATATATATATATGGTGGTTCCCCCTGTAGAGATGAGATGGTCAGAGGGTTGATTGGCGAACCCCACCACCCGGGTTCGACCCTCAGAAGGGGCAACTTTGGGGGAATTTTAAGGGAGTTAAGCGTGCTGGCCATAGAGTAGCAGAAATGATGGGTGACCCCCTAGGAAGTGTTTGCAGATTTATGGGGCTGGGCTTCAGATTGGGCTTCTTATAGTGGGCTATCTGCCTCGAGTGTTTAACGGGCCCCGGGGTGGTCACGAGGTTAATGGGCCTCGGGCCCCCTGCTTGTAACTGACCATTCCAATAATATTAATAAAAAATATATATATATGTGTGTGTGTGTGTGTGTGTGTGTGTAATCCCGGTAGCGTTCCACCAAAATTAGTGGGGTAAGGACCAGGGAACCCTAACCAAAATTTATTAAAAACTATCACCACGTTCGGGGGGACTAGACCAGAACCCCGAAAGTTACAAGGGACCACCGAGCAAATTTACATTAATAACCCACATAAAGAAATTCAAAAGTAAAAAGCAGGGTGTCTACAGTCTCCCGCGCCTCCTTTGAAGATTCATCTGTGTGCCTATTCCCCGTTGAACAGAAACCATGTAGCCTCTTCCTCTTAATATGTAACCCAATGTGTACTCGAGCTGCATCTCATCCCCCATAGTAGGATTGGAGGTTTCTTCCGCTCAAACATATAGTTTGGAACCCTAGGTCAAATAGTTCCAGATCCTTTAATGCCCAACTCTTCTTCCTGTGAATCCAACACCAGCCTTGGATCATCTTCTTGATTTGGTTGTGCGCGGTAGCTATGGAGGGTCTATCATTACTATAGATCGCGGCATTATACATTTTCCATAGGTTCCACGCAATAATACCTGGTAACACCAATTTGAGATTTCCTCTCAAGCTATTGCTCGTCGCTCTTAGACCCCATTCAATGAGGTGCTGTCACAAGGTAATTCGGTTCCTGGCAATAGGCCCTTGCAGCAAGTTTGAGAAGTAACGCCAGATGCTAATACTGAAGTCACAGTGGAGCAAGGTATGATTAATATTGGCCTCCCAGTGCTTGCAAAAAGGGCATTGTGATGGAAGATGATATCCAAGTCTCATGAATAAATGAGGGAAGGGTACAATGCCTTGTAGGATTTTTCATTGAAACAGGTTGATATTAGGAATTCGGAGTTTATGCCAAGCCAATTTATAGCTGAACTGTATATTACTCCCTCCCCTGCAAGCATTGTAACCTTTTTTCAATGCGAACTCCCCCCTTCCCACATTGGGGTACCATTTACATTTTCTGAGTGTTCTTCTGCCAGGTGTGAGATTCGGCAAATTCTTTTCCAATTAGGAGAGTCTACAATTCTCTCATGTAATGAATTTCTTCTCAAATATTTGTCTCAATATAGGTAGCCCAAATGTTGTTGTCCTTTTGATCTTTCCACCAGAGTTTGATAGAGTAGGCTTTATGCAAATCCTTGAGGTTCCTCAGCCCCAAACCTCCCTCATCTTTAGGGGTGCAAATTGACTCCCAATTCTTCCAATGGTGGTTAGGTTTGCCATTGGAATAACCCCAAAGAAAGTTGGACATGACTCTATGAAGATGATTCATGACAGAGATAGGTAAACTGTGGACAGCTAAGTAGTGTAAAGGGATAGATGAAAGGACATGTTTAATGAGTATAAGTCTACCCATAGGATTTAGTAGTTTACTGTACCAAGTGTTGATATGTCTATCGAAGTGTTCCGGTATGTCCTGACAATGATTTTGTTTAAGTTTGCCCTTGCAGATTGGGACTCCCAGGTATTTAAAGGGCAAACTGTCATGGGACATGCCAATGGCAATCTCCATCCTAGAAATTTGATTGTGCTTAGCCTTTTTCCCTACATAGAACTTGGACTTGCTGTAGTTAATTTCTTGCCCTGAGCTCTCTGTGTACTCTTTAAGAATGACAATGAATTTGAGGAAGTTTCTGACTCCTCCCTTTAAGAAGATAATTATATCATCTACATAGGCTAGATGACTGACTATGAGACTTCTACCAGTGTTGAACCTCTTAATGTATTTACTCTCCATGTTGGTCTTGATCATCCTTAGGAACACCTCGCTAGCAATAACGAAAAGGAGTGGGGATAGTGGGTCCCCCTGCTTTACTCCTCTTTCCATTTTGAAAAAACCTGTTGGACATCCATTAATTAGGATTGAAATATGGGTGCCAATTAGGTTTGCAAGTAACAAGTCTTGAACATACTGTGAGAAGCCAAATCTTTTTAAAACCCCCTTTAAAAAGCTCTATTCGATTTTATCAAATGCCTTAGCCATGTCTAACTTGATGATAGCATTGCCACTGTCACAATGTTTATCTAGACTGTGGACCATTTCACAAGTCATTAGGATATGATCATCCACACCCATTCCCTTTTGGAACCCAGCTTGCTCCTTAGAGATGATTTTAGATAAGAGAGTTTGTAGCCTAGAGGCCAGGATCCTGGAGTTAATCTTGCTCATAAGAGTAGAGAGAGAAATGGACCTATAGTCTGAAAAATGCTTACAGACTTTCTTCTTAGGGATCAGAGTGATGAGAGTGCTTCCAAAGGCCATTGGAATAGGGACTTCTAGGAAAACTTCTTGAGTGACCTTGATGACATCCTCTTTAATGATACTCCAGCAGACTCTAAAAAAGCTGCCATTGAATCCATCAGGGCCTGCTGAGCTAGTAGGACTAAGATCCCAAACTTCTTTTTGGATTTCTGCTTCATTTGGGATTCTGCCCATCATGAAATTGTCCTCTAGGGTGATGAGGCTGGGGATGTATTCCAGGATGTGATGAGCATGAACTTCTTTGTGAGTGCTGAACACCTCTTTAAAGTAATCCTCTGTTGCCTTTCAAATCTCCTCTACCTCCATTTTTTCCTTCCATTGCCATCTGTAATGCTTCTGATCTTGAGGTTGCTTCTTCTGCTCTTGACATAAGAGTGGAAAAAGAAAGAATTCTGATCCCCTAATTCCATCCATTTAATATTAGCTTTCTGTTTCCAAAAGAGGGTTTCTCTGTTAGTGGCCACAATTAGATCAGCTTAAGCTTTATTGGCTATGGATCTCAAGATATCAATTGGATTCTGTTCATACTATTCTTGTGCCTTCACTGCTTTAAATTCTACTTCATTTACAGCTTCAAAGATGTCACCAAATGTTTCCCTGCTCCAGTTTTTAAGTGTAGCCTTGAGCCCTTTGAGTTTAATAGCCAGTCCCCTCATTCCTCCAATCATGGGCTACTGAGTCCAGTTATCTTTGACTACCTTGAGGAAGTTGTTGTGGGTGAACCAGAAGTCTTGGCATCGGAATGGTTTTGCTCTTTTGAAGTCCTCTAGTTGGCATTGCAGCAAAATAGGCTTATGGACGAAGGAGGTTTTGTTCAGATGTTTCATGTTAATTTTAGAGAAATGGTTCATAGTGAGAGGGTTAACCAAAGCCCTGTCTAATCTTCTCCAAATTCTTCCCTTACTCCTCACCCCCCTCCAGGTGAAGATACCTCCTTCAAACGGGTAACATGTAAATTATTATTACCCAAATCAAATGAATACAAAATGTCAACAGCTTAACCACAAGGTGGTTACTTGCTTAAGCTACAGCTATACACAAACGAAATTACAACTCAAGTGTAACACATACAAATACAAAAAACTAACAAATACAAGTACAATCTAACCAAGACCAAGATTAGGAGGTTGTCTTAACACGAGACAAACATCTCCATTACATCAAACACACGTGATACAAGTGATACAAGTGTACACCAGCAACAATCTAGAATAGGTGCACCGACTGGGCAAAGACCATACCATTCCACTTGCCAAAGCAGAGCGAGTACATAATATCAGTACATAATATCAGAAGCTTCCAGCAAGAATTAGACAAGAAGCATCATTCCCTAACCACATTGCAGATATATAATCAAAGCACACAGCATCACAGCACCACAGATCCATGTACAGCTAGGTAGGTATTAATCAGAGATGAAGGACCATTGAGGAAGATACCTCCTTCAAAGGCTGGGCAAATGAGTGGGATGGCTTCAATGCAGTCTTTGAAGTCTGTAATGTCTGCCAGGGTGGGGGTGGTTAGGCCTTGGTGCTCCTCAAGGGAGCAAATAACATTAAAGTCACCCCCTAAAATCCAAAGGTGATCACTGATAACATTATCAGAGATGTCCTTCCATAGTTCCTTTCTCTGACTTCCAGTGTGTTTGCCATAAATTGAGGTGATGCTACACTTGGTGCTGAGGTTATTATCCCAGAAGTGACAGGTGTACATTTGACCAAACTCTTGAAAGAATAATAGTTTGAATCTATCCCCATTCCAGAAAAGCCAAAGCTTGTTGTTAAGCGCTGAAGCACAATTAGAGAAACCAAGCTGAACTCTAGTAGTATTGACTTTATGTTCCTGAATCATAAGTTCCAAAACAGCAACAAAATCAGGTTTATAGGTTTTGGTAAGGGAGGTTAGCCTATTAACAAAGGAGTTAATACCGCAAATGTTCCAGAATAAAATATTCATGACAACTGATAGAATGTTACATCTTTATTCCCCTTCATGGTCCTTGTGAGCATAGAGGGGTAAGCCTGTTTTTGTTTATTCTTGCTCGCTTTGGGGACTGAGACACATATTGAGGATGGATCTGGTGTTTTTATATTAATAGCTTGAAGCTTAGATTTGTCTAACACTTCTGTTTCTTCTCCCTCTGAGTGGTACCTAAATTGAAATTCACAGTCAATATTTTTCCTTGTGCTTTCTTCCTGCACGGGTTCCAGCAAGATGCCAAGACCAATCTCAGGGCTCTTGAATAGACAATCATCCATTGCCTTGTAGGATAAGGGAGTTTCCTTGGCTTTTGGTAATCCTGGGGATTTGTTGATTTTCATCCTCCGAGTATACTCCTTTTCTTCTGATAAAGATGGGAAGACAGGATTTGAAGGGTTGCTGTTGGAATCATGGAGTCCCTCGAGTAGGGTCACTGGGTCAGTAGCTTGTACCTCTGAAGTTTGTGGGTAATAACTATCAAACAGGCACTGTGACTGACCTGAAAAAGGCTCCAGATGCTGGTCCAGTAAGTGGAACTGGTTTTGGCTTGTAGCTGTTGTTGACATCTTCTCTTTCCTGACCCACTTCATTTTGGATTATAGGCCATGTGATGGTATTTTGTTAGTTCTTGCTTTGTTCTTTCCTTTAACAATAGTCCAGCTGAGGGCCCTATTATCACCTTGCTCATCAAGTTTACCCTTGCCGGAGGGAGTTTTTCCGGTGGGCTACTGAACTGGAGTGCAATCTGAGTTGCCTAGCTTCCTGCACCTATTGCAAAAAGCATGCCCTTCCTCCCATTGGCAAGGTTCTATGATATCCCTATCCCCCAGTCTAACATGAATGGAATCTGGAAAGGGGATAGAGATATCTCTCTCCAAGAGTACTCTAGCTTCTGTCCCTCTATCCAGTTTGGAAGTTCTTTCATCAAGTTGAATAGGGCGTCCAATAGCAGATGCAATTGTGAACAAAGCTTGAAAACTAATGAGGTGTAATGGCAGGCTAATGAAGGTGACCCAAATAGGAACAACAAGGCTGTCCAAGTTTACACACACACACACACACACACACATACACACACACACACACACACATATATCTGTGTGTGTGTGTATGTATTTATGTATCTATGAGTGTGTATAGGGTGTTGATCACGTGAGAACGCTCTTAATGATTGAAATAAGAATGGTCATTTTTCATCCTTAGTGAGAGAAATGAGAATACTTACTTTTTGTCATTTTACTAAATTACATTGTTTGAATGATCATCCTTTTTTTAGTTGTCATTTATGAATCCTTAAATCTGAAAATAACCCTTTTGTCCTTTTTTTATGACGATATTTATGTTCAAATCCAAACCAATTTCACTTATTTGCGGTAACCAACGCAGTTCAATAAAACTAAATTTTAAAATCAACATGAGCAAAATTTCATTTTTCGTTAATAATAGGAAAATTTTTGACACAATATATTTTTAACAAACTATACGGTGGGCTCCTTTTGACAACAACCATTGTTGTCATATTATGCCAACAATGGCCTACGACTCTCTGTTCGAAAATTGATGATTCCTACTCTCTATCAGTGTTTTGGGGTGAGGGAGGGAAGGGGGCTGCTGGGGTGGGTGAGGGGGAAAGTGTTACTCTAGCACCGTAGGCTATTGTTGTCATAATATGACACCGCCGCTTCATGTTGACAAAAGGAGGGCCACAAACTATATATTACTCCGTATTAGTTTTTTTGTCGTTCTAGTTTTTTATGCTATAATATACATTTTTCACATTGATTAAACTGATTTGGTTTTAAGTTTACAAATGATTAAATCTTGAAGGTGCTATAATTTTTTTGTGATGAAGAGTCAATTACTAATTAAAATTTTAGCATCTGCCATTCGAAATTGATCAGTTGAAATCATTGACAACATTTTTTGGTTGCCTACGCTCGGTCATCACGTGACAGAATTGTTTTTTATCAATACAACATGATCGTACAAGTCATCTTGGATTTTTGAACTAAAGCGAGATTTAATCGAATAAGGTAATATCTAATCACATAACACAACATTCATTCCCATATGATAAGGCAAGGATTATTCACATAAGACAATACAAAGTTTCAATAAACCCTATAAGATACCAAAAGTGACAATTACCACTTGGGGTAAAAGTAAAAGAGTCCTGAGATAGGGAATGCAGCTTTTGAGAGTATTTGGTTATCACCATTATTATTTTTAAGAATAATATTTTTTATTTGTAATTGACATTATCTCTTTTCGTAACAACACGTAAGGGGTGATTTTAAAACACTACAAGAAAAATGTCCTTTAATGTAAGTAGAAACCGTAGTAAAAATACAAAAAAACCGTCATTAAAATATTTTAATGAGAGGAAATTTACTCTCATTGACCGTCATTATAGCCTCCGTAGTTAATTACAAATAATGACGGGTTACAAGTCCTCTCATTAAAATTATTTAATGAGAGTACTTTTACCTACATCAAAATGCTCTTTTTATGATAAAAAATCTCGTCATAAATACAATTATTAGTAAAAAGAATTATATTTTTTACGATTAAATATACCGTCATTAATACATATACGTATATATACACACACACACACATACATTGATTTATGCATTTATTAAAGAAAATTTTATTAAAATGAGAAAAGAGGTACAAAGGGAGGGGAGGGCCAAACCAAAGCCCCTCCAAGATTTAAAAATGACCTACATATAATATAAAAAAAATGACAGAAATGATTTGGTTCTAAGACCTTATAAACACCGAACAAGCCTATGCAAATTTAAAGGATCAAACTCAAAAAAAAGTGTCTGGTTGCTCTATAAAATCAGCAGGTACTATTCTGTGTTGGATGATGCATGGACTTTTTGGCTTCACAAAAGATTTAGTTGAAAGATGTCTAGATATGAAAGGCATCATCTTGGTGTGCCACGAATGGAATGTTTCCTTCTTTGCTAGTTCCAAATGCCGACACCTAAAAGTCTGCAACAACAAAATAAAACAATAAGTTTAGCACTACATCCAAACCCAATGAAGCATAGAGACATAGAGTACAATGTTTAAGAACAAATATCACAAGATAGCCAAACGGTAAACAATGCACTATGAAAGTATAGTAGTACCTCTCATCCTCTTGATCTCTTACCACTGCACCACACAACAGGACACAAAAGCTTACTACCAGAAGGTCTCCCTACTCTCTTGGGAAAACCTTCGGTAATATTTAATCAAATGTCTTATGGTACATTGAGTGTGGTTCACCCTACCCCAGCACTCTGATTATTTTCATAAATTCAAAACAAAAAACATTGCTACAAAAAGGTTATTTACTATCGTGTATGGGTGTACAAATCAAATGAGTCACTAGCTACACCATATATGATGTAGGAAAACTTACGTATAAACATGTCCATTAGAATCAACTGCAACTGATCACTATAACATAACATAAAACGGAAGGGTAAGGGAAATTAACAACTTCACAAAGCAGAATATACTTATTTTTGTTGTTAAATGAGTGTATGTATATAAGTGTACACATGCATATAGATTACATTAAGATAAGAACCTGTGTGGTTTGACTCGCAAGCCACTTTAACAATAGTTTCACTAGCAAAGGCAGTTATTGCTTTGGGCATAGGTTGAGCTTCATATACAAGTTTCACTGAAATGTCTCTGGTGTTGTGCTGTAAAAAAATGACAGCATCTATTATATTGGGTCTAACTCATTTTTAAAGTATCCTCTAATGACCCACAAAGCAGTTATTACAACGAAACTAGCTATTCCATAATGCACGCTGTAAGTTGAGAAAACAAAATTATATATAAACCACCAGATCAACTATGATGTCATCAAGTATAACTAAAAGCCAATTTTCACTAAACCTTTAGATTCATCTGGATTAATAAAAGCATGTATGTTTAAGACCAAAGGTGAAAAATCTAGCAGCTACAAACCACTCAGAAAGACGTCATACTTCTTACATAGTTTAAATCTAGAAACTTTATTGTTGGGGTGTTGGGATCAAGATGTATGCATTCTTACCTTGAAATATAAGAGAGGTTATTTTGAGACGTTCCACGTGAACGAATCTGGTGGGAGGGAATGCAGAATGTGTAAAAAGGCAAGTATGGCTACAACCAGGACCAAGTACTCTACAGCTTTATCATGACCAAAATAATGGCTATCGACAATAGAAAAACCAGTCAAAAACTAATAAAATAGCTACATCAACTACTTGATAGGTGCCCGAACTAAGATTTAGGCCAACAACCAAGTAAAATCACGTTAAAACACATTAGAAAATAAATAGAAATATCATATAATGTCATTAGTTAAAAGAAAAATAATATTCGAATACTTAACGAGGCTACCAATCATTAAACAAATAAGTAAGCGGGCCAAAAATAGTATTACCTAGCTATCAATCGGAATAACTAGTGCCAAGCAGCCTTCGTTTAAAAAATCAGTAGTTCTTCATACATGAATATGCTTCTTTTGATAGTGAAAAGGCAACTTAATAAGCAGAATTCATCATTTGGTTGGAATTGTGAAGTCCAAATACACAAGAACAACAACAAAAATATAGAACACTAAACTTATGCTCAGGAATGCTATTATTTGTGCCAAAGAGTCAAACTTCAAACCAAATTGATAAACAAAATTACCCAAACATTAAAAACAAAATTGATTCAGAAATGAAACAAAGTCACATATGATAGATTAATGAATCAAGAAGCTGATTGGCTACTCAAACCCTCGTGAGAAAACTAATTATGCAAACTCATCATACTCGAAATTAATTAAAAGTTATAAACCTGATTTGGGAATACAAGCTGGTAGGGGTTGTATCCTGAGCACTGGAATTGAATCGAGGGTACCCAAAAAAACCAGCAGAAACAATGGCGGACGAAGCACTGGAAAGAGGTTGTATCCCTCAGCACGGGTCATCGGACGGGGTGGCGGTTGGATCTGGTGTATGACGGAATCTGCAAGGTCGGCGGTTATCGGAATGACGAAATCGTAAGGTAAGGTCGTGTATGCGAAACTAGTGATTTTGTCTTTGCTAGAAGAAGACTTTTCTGGAAAATACTCTGTAAAAATTCATCCGCCGTAATTTGGTGCTGAATATTTTTAACCTAATGAATACTTCATTTTGGAATCTATTTTAGTTTGGCCTGATTAGAAAATATATTAAAAATTTATTGTGAGATTATTATAGTTCTATTTATCTATAATGAGAGTATTAAATTTTAAAAAAAGAAATTGGTCACTAAAAATAACACATTATAACTACGGATTTTTTCCCGTCATAAAAAATGTATGACTAACACGTTTAATGAGAGTATCTTTAACCCGTCATAATTGGTCCGTAACTAAAAGTCCTTTTTCTTGTAGTGAAACTCACGAGTTGATGACTTTTGTACCTCTATGAGACTTCTCGTAGCAACACGAAAGGTGTGATTTACTAATTAATTAAGATAAATGGTTTATCTTAACTAAAAGAATAACTCACAAATTTGTTTGAGAACTCTCAAACACTCAATATATTAACTTCAATATGTTCAAACTCTAGATGTTTTACAATGAGAAATTCTTTACCTATTTATAGGAA